CACCGTAGCAACTCCAAGCGGGGGGTGGGGGTGGGGGGAGGACCAGGGAGGATGATTCAACCACTCAACCACTAGATATCGCTGAAAACAACAAATCCTACACACTGTGCCTTTAAGGTTTCAAATCTCTGAGCCGTGACTGAAACAAAAACACAAAATCATTTTTGAGATCAAAGGGTTATGTATAGGATATGTTTGTATAAATTTKAAGTGGAATTTGGGACAAAATGAGCATAAATGTTGACAAAAGTTAACTGAGATGTGCGACTGAGACGACGGAGGAAATAATTTTGAGCTCATTATAAATTGAGGGAATGGGAGGAAACTGATGTTTGTCTCAAAGGGTCCGGCTCAGGTTTTAGATCATCCTCTAAAGATTCAAGATTTAGCTCTACAAACAGACCTGGTTCATTCTGGAACTCAAACTACCGTATTTATTCATGAATAATACGATCATCATTTTTTAAGCTTACAAAGCATATAAACCTAATTATCAATAACCTGTGTATTATACTATCCCCACACTTTATGGATGATTTTTAGGGTTAAATTGCTAGTATTATACATGAATAAATGCAGTAAATCTGGGACTTCCTTTATGTTGAAACATGACTTTTCAAATGTTTTATATAGAGGGTCCAGTCCTGGTCCTGGTCCTCTGCACTGAATGACAGGATGATTAACAGGCTGCTGTTCACAGGAACAGTTCTGGCAGAAGTTGAAGAGGTAAATCAGTCAGTGAAGCAGAGGAACAGAACCAGGACTGGACCCTCCTGGTCTACACGTGGAGGGGACAGTTTTCTGCTGAAGTTTACACAGTAAGATAAGTTCAGTCGTTGATAAAAAAGCGTGAGTATATGAGAGCAGCTGATACATATTCGGCACATCTCGTTACTAAAGCAGTACAATCAGGAGCAGCAGCTTGGTCCCGGCTGCAGCTTGGTTCAGGATCACTGACCACCACCCTCTCCTCCGGTCAGAGCTCCTGTGAGGTACTGATCCAGGATCAGTCGGACTGGCCCAGACGCTCTGTCCTCGGGACGTGGGACAGATGGCAGCACTAGATGGACATCGTGCAGAGAATGAACTGGTGACAAAGAACAGAAACATGACAAAAGCCTGTTTATTTCACATCAACAGGAACAAGTTTGTTAGCAAAATATCTCTTTTTCTCAGCCAAAAGGCTCATTCTGCTGTCAGCTCCTGTTTGGTGTTTATTAAATGATTAAAGTCTTTAAAAACGACACATATAGATAATTTAAAGTGCTTGTATCGTCAAATTTTTGTAATACATACATGAATGCATTTTAAGAAAGAGAACATTGATAAAATATTGCAAAAGAAATTCCATGTCGCTGAGATGAACAGTTGTTAAGATATTTGCCTGTGAAGTAACAGGAAGTGATGTCAAAGGGGAACGTCTCCATGTGAACAGAGCATTGCTACAACTAATAACCCAGACTGTAGAGAAGAATCTGAGGTTTCTGTAGATTATTCTGAGTCACTATCAGAGAGATGAAGAAGAGTTAAAGATTAAATAATTTTGTTTCAATAAACAGAGACCAGAGAGGTTTTTTTTTAAAGAATTCCCCTTTGATGTCACTTCCTGTTTCACTTTGGCTGAGCCAAGTTCAAAAGAAAAAATGCCGGTTATGGGACAAAACGGGTTAAATCGTGCATATTATTCCAACTTAAGATGTTTTCTTTGACTTTTTGTGTTTGCACAATATGCATGTCACAGACACTATAATTTATTCATTTAGCAAACATGGCCTTGGTAGCATGTGGAGGAACCATTTACAGCCACAGCAGCCTGGCTCCTCCTACACAAGTAGAACTGTGCAACGTAAGACCCAGTGATTTAAAGAAATTCCCAAACAAACAAACAAATTGCAAAGCACCACCAGCAAAGCAGAAAATGAATTAATACGATACCCCACGTCTAACCTCACCCTGTCTCCTGAAAACAGGAGCAGGTGTACGGAGGAGATGGTTTTGAAAACTAAAGTTTTGAGTGCTTATTGGCGGAGCAGTCTTTCACTGTCAGCGTCTCAGCGTCCCCTCAGCGTCTCAATTAATTAAATTATATTTAATTATTTTTATTGCTTTTTCCCACAAGTTTTTTAATTTCCATGTGCTGCCTGAACAATCTCTTCGAATCTGAATGATCTCTTTGACTCTGTGACTCTGAACGATCTTTTTGACTCTGAACGAGACTCTGTGACTCTGAACGAGACTCTGTGACTCTGAACGAGACTCTGTGACTCTGAACGAGACTCTGTGACTCTGAACGACCTCTGTGACTCTGAACGACCTCTGTGACTCTGAACGACCTCTGTGACTCTGAACGACCTCTGTGACTCTGAACGACCTCTGTGACTCTG